CTTCTCCTTTTTTTGCTACTGAGCATATCACTTGTTTGTGTTTCTTTGTTTTCCAGGCAGTGTAGCACTATCTTAGAACTCTCTGTAGACCAGAATTGCCTCAAACTAAGATCCTCCTGCCTCTGTATTCCAAGCTGGAATTAAACATGCGAGCCACCACCACTTGGATATTGATCACTTCTTTACTTTTTCTGTCTCTGTATGAACCTATCAGCTTTGTTTCCTTCTTTGTGCATGTGTAGAACTTCTCTTCCAAGACCAATGTTTGGACATTTCTCAGAATGGGACTTTAAAAATCTGTGTCAATTGAAAATCTAGACATTTATAGTAAACTCATGCTCTGAATTTTTGAAATTATCAGGAGAAAAAACATGCAAATGAAAGAATATTCTTGAATTCTTAAGGTAATACAGTACTTAATATGTTATTAATTGTCAGACATCTGACTTAGGAAACATAACACTGACACATTAACATTTTTAAAAGTCAATCATTTGTGTTATGAAAGATTTTCTATGTTGGATATATCAATAGTTAGTGGATGACATTTTTAGTCTCATCTTCCTCAGTTGAATAGAATAAATAATAATTACAAGTCAAGGAGATAACAAAATGGATATAATACATTGATAAAAACCAAATTCTCTGCTTATTATAATTTAAAATCATTGCTAAATTTCATTTGTAGTTGATTTGAAGTATATTTACAGATGCTTAGCCACATTTCAATTAGTGAAAATTATGCAAATAGCCAGATATAAAAATCAATAGTTATGAAATACATATTCGATTTAAATAATTAAAACAAAATTAAATGATAAGGAAATGGAAATTGTAATATTGGTGACAATATGGAAAATGGTTAATTTTATTAAGCAAAAGAAGCACTGTAATATATTACACATATTTCCATATTCTTATTAATCAATAACTTGTTCGTACTTTTGTATAGTGTAACATAACAAATGGATGTCCTTTTCTCTATGTTCTTTTGTAACTTCCTTCATTTACTGAGAAGTCAAATATTTGACCATTTTTGTGAATATAAGTTGTGCATTGTGCATATTCTCAGTGTGTGGGTAAGATCTTACTTATTGTCCCACATTAGATTAGAGCTCATATCCTATACACACAAGTCAGAATTCTGGGTACAGACATAACCCCTGTGTATGCAGCTCCTAAACTTTAAAAAGTCAGATCATCTGCGTGAATATGTTCACTGACATTTATCTTATTAATTCGCATTTATAAAATGTTAAAAATAAATTATTGAATTAAATGATTGACTGAGTTTTTCTTGTATTATGGAAGAAAATACTCTAAGTCATATTATTGACTATAAATTTGTATTTTGTGTGAGAGTGTGCGTATGTGTGAGTGTGTGTGTCTGTGTGTGTCTATGAGTGTGTGTGTGTGTGTGTGTGTGTGTGTGTGTATGTGCTGATGGAATATACATCAGTGAAGCCATGTTAGGACTTTCTATGCGGTTCCTCAAAAGACAAGATGAGAAGTTCCTTATACTACAGCGATATAAAACACACACACACACACACACACACACACACACACACGTACACACACACTAGAACTTTGTGCATACATCAATTACCCATTCTGAATTTTGGGGAACCTTGAGATTTTATAGATCAACGCAGCAGTCCCAGCTGTTGTGATTTCATGTTTGTAATAGTACAGTCTTTAATACCCTAAAAATACTTTTTTTCTACACACTTCCACTTTCTCTGGCTTTCATAATCTTTCTGCTGTTTTTTTCTGTGATAATCCCTCAGCCTTTAAGAAAAGAGCATTTTATATATGAAATTCTTTTAAGAGCTGAGTATTCTTGTGTTCTCTATATTGAACATCTCTATATATTGACCATCTTTGCATCTCTTAATTAATTGCTACCTAGAAGCTTCTCTTATGGAGATTGATAAATTTACTAGTGTATGATTACTAAAATAAGGATTAGGAGCTAGATTATTGCTATATCCTTTTATGAGAAAAATAGTTATAGGTTCTACTAAAGTGGCTATAACTTAGCAAGACATAAGATTTTAACAATTAATAAGATAAGTCATAAGTTCTGAATTGTGAAGGGGATTTATATCAAACAGAATGTAGTTGGCTACTCTAAGACCATCATGAAACTATTAAAGTTGTAGCATGGCTTGTCAGGATAGTCATTAATTTATTTCCCAGTATTCACAGCTATGTAAGTCTGTTGATGACTTTTCTTCGCTGGTAGTATGGAGAGAACCATAAATTACAACGGAAGCTATATTTTCTTACCACACCTATGCAGTCCATAGTCTGTGACCATCCACTAGCTTGATTCAGGTGTTTTCGCCAACATGTTCTTGACCTCTCCTTATTAATTTAATCTCTCATTTCTGTCTTCAATGAACACCAGGAGCTCAGCTCAGTGTTTGGCTGGAGGTCACTGCATCTGATTCCATCAGTTACTGGATGTAGGTTCTATGATGACAATTAGAGTAGTCACTACTCTGATTAAGGGGGAAGACCCCATCAGAGACCCTCTCCACTATTGTTTGGTCAACATTGTGAATTCCTGAGAATTTCTCTAACACCAGGTGTTTCTCTATACCCATAATGCCTCACTCCATCAAGTTACTCTTTCTTTGTTGATTACCTCATCTAGGTTATGAATTGATATGTACTTCATATATGAAAATTAAAGACAATTAGCAAATGATCAAGCTGTACTGTTAATGCGTATGTACATAAAGAATATAGATAGCATATAATAGACATCCTAGTGTACCTATGTTCTAATTATATAGTGAAATGTGGACAAAATTTTAGATCTTAACTAGGAATGAAAAGGTAAAGAAAATATGGCATGTATCACATGTACTTATCAGAGATTTGATGGAACAAAGCCTATTTTATATACCGAAATGAGTGCAAATGGGGAATCATCACATTGTGATTACAACATCAAATACTGCATTTTAAATTATATGTATATATATAAAATTTAGAATGAATTAAATATAAAGCAAGGCAACTTTAATTAAGGAGAAAGATGATCACAAAGAGGGAGGACGCAGGACAAGAGAGGGAATTAAAAATCTTTAACATGGTCAAAGTTCATCATATACCTGTGTAAAAACTTTTCATAATACTTTAAATAGTTTATACAATAAATATCTGCTATTGTAATTAAATGAAACTAAATAAAAATCAAAAGAACAGTCAAAGAAAATAAAATTGTTCAGAAATAAAGAAAGGGTGACTGTTAAATTACAAAAATGCATGAGGGAGAGGGAAAGAGAAGAAAAGTATAAAAAGCAAAGTTTTAAATGTCCAAATTTCATAAGTGATGTGTATTATTATTTAAATTTAAACATCTGAACAGTTTTAAGTTACTGCTGTGATACCGCTCTGGTACAGTAATGCATGGGCATTGTGAACATTTCTTCATTTTCTCAAAATTGTAATGATTGTAAGAGAAAAAAATGAGTGATACTGATGAAGTAGCTGACATATTACAGAAAAATTTGTCTTCCTACAGTAGATAAAATATAGCTACTTGACCACTGTCCTTTACTAAGGTAAATCATGAAATCATTTGAGTCAATTTAATATGCACACTACATAAAAACATGTGAATATAGATTTAATTTCATGCAACAGAGAGAGGAGAGGGTGATCATGTTTTTCCTGACTCAATTTGTCCTTGAACGTTAGGTCTGAGTGCGTGCCAAGTAATCTTTCTGGGAAATTGGCCCCTGTAGATGACCACATGTTGCGTGATGCTCATTGTTCTTCCATGGAGAACCTGCAATCATAAAGTTGAAAAGCTTTATATTGGCAGAAAGACAGCCACCGGCCTGTTTATAACACAATAATTTTGGGGCTTCGTTTGGGCTATATTTTACAAGGAAAATATTAATTTTACTGAGAAATATATAAAATTATTAGGGTGTAAAATTTATCTTCACAATACGAATAATGAATTCAGGAAAATGTTGAAACAAAAACCTAAAGGAAAATAAATGCTTTAGTACAGATTTTGTCAAATCCTTATGTACATTCTCTATTTTGAAAAAAGGGAGCAGATGAAATTTTTTGGGCATAAAATCTTATAAAAGGCTTTGTTTGTTTGCTTACTCATCGCTAGTTTTGTTCACAGTAAGTATTTTAAAAATCAGAATGGATTAGATGAACTTAAAAGATCTTTGTAAAAATATCTTTTGTTAATTTTATATGTTATCCAGAATTTTTGTGAACAGAAATGTGTACTTGATGGAATGAGATTCTAAAATAAATGCACATAATCCAATACTGTCATCTTAGAAAACTTTAACTTTAGACTGTCAGGTAATAAAAACATTCTCTCATCCTTAATATTCCTATAGGAAGTGAAATATTTTGTAATCACATTTAACTGACATTATTAAGAAATAAAGAATTGATCCATTAGGTTTGTTTGGCATCTTATTTCACAATTTATGCAATTTTTAAATGGAGCTTTATTAACTCGAATAATGAAAATTAGGAACACAGAATTATAAGTAGAATTCGGGCTCAATATACACACACACACATATATACATATATATATACATACATACACATATATATATACACACATACATAGACACAATTGTATTTCTTGTAATTTATTTGATCTTTTTGCATTATTTACCTAGTATAAAAGAATCATAATGGATGATAAGTAGTAGTTAATAGAGGCTAATATTTGTTGTAGCCTAAATGAATTATTTCATGACAGTACCAGTTCTACCAACATTGTGAAGTATACTTACCAATATGAGCGCATAAACAAGTAATGCTTTATATATCTGTCTATTTGGGCAATTAAATTTTATAAACCTCAAACTGTAAACTAATATTATTTGAGAGAAAACACAATTATAATAAAGGACTTTTAAATGCATATACACAAAACATTTTGGATCACTCAGGTTAAGTATTGTCTTTAATTTCTGCAGATTTTAGAACCATTAACTATGAATGCCTGGAACCACACAAATGAATCTAACTTTATACTTATGGGATTGACAGATTCCAAGGAGATCCAGCTAGTCCTCTCTGTGCTGTTTCTCTTTATATACATGGCCACTGTGCTGGGGAACATAGGCATGATGTTAATCATTCGTCTAGAAGTCCAGCTTCACACTCCGATGTATTTCTTCCTCACCCACTTGTCATTCCTTGACCTCATTTACTCAACTGTCATCACACCTAAAACCTTGGAGAACCTGCTGACTTCCAGAAAGAGCATTTCCTTCATGGACTGCTTCATTCAATTGTACTTTTTTGCCCTCTTCGCTGTAACTGAATGCTTTATACTGTCTTCCATGGCCTATGACCGCTATGTAGCCATCTGCAATCCCCTACACTATCCAGTTATTATGTCCACAAGACGCTGCCATGCTCTTATCACTGTATCCTACGTGATTGGAGCTATGGATTCCATTAGCACTATCTCTCCTATAAACACCTTGAATTTCTGCAGTTCCAAGGTAATCCATCATTTCTTTTGTGATGCATTCCCAATTTTAGCCCTGTCCTGCAGTGATACCTATGATGCTGAGGTCAACATATTCATTCTAGCTGGACTTACTCTACTGGTGTCCCTTCTCATTATTTTCTTTTCATATGTGTCCATTCTCTCTACGATTTTGAAGATAAATTCTTCCTCAGGTAAGCACAAAGCCTTTTCCACTTGTGCCTCACATCTCCTAGGAGTCACTGTCTCTTATGGAACTATGATCTTTACTTATTTGAAGCCAAGCAAGTCCTACTCTCTGGGAAAGGACCAAGTAGCTTCTGTTTTCTATACAATTGTGATCCCCATGCTGAACCCACTCATTTATAGTCTCAGAAACAAAGAAGTGAAAAGTGCTGCCCTTAGACTTGTGAAAAAGAAAGAAGGGTCCCAGGAATTTACATAACAATGTTGCCAGATATTTAAACACTTCTCCTTTTTTTTGCTACTGAGCATATCACTTGTTCGTGTTTTTGTTTGTTTGTTTGTTTGTGTGTGTGTGTTTGTTTTCCAGGCAGTGTAGCACTAGCTAGCTTAGAACTCACTCTGTAGACCAGGATGGCCTCAAACAAACTAAGATGTTCCTGTCTCCGTATTCCAAGCTGGAATTAAACGTGCGAGCCACCACCACTTGGATATTGATCACTTCTTTACCTTCTCTGTCTCTGTATGAACCCATCAGCTTTGTTTCGTTCTTTGTGCTTGGTTTGAACTTCTCTTCCAAGACCAATGTTTAGACATTTCTCAGAAGGCGACTTTAAAAATCTGTATCAATTAAAAATCAAGACATTTATAGTAACTCATGCTCTGAATATTTGAGATTATCAGGAGAAATAACATGCAATTGAAAAAACATTCTTAAATTCTTTTTTTTTCTTATTTTTTTCGAGACAGGGTATCTCTGTAGTTTTTGGTGCCTGTCCTGGAACTAGCACTTGTAGACCAGGCTGGCCTCGAACTCACAGAGATCCGCCTGCCTCAGCCTCCCAAGTGCTGGGATTAAAGGCGTAAGGTAGTATAGTACTTAATATGTTATTAAATGTCAGATATCTGACTTAGGAAACATAACACTGAAACATTAACATTTTTAAAAGTCAGTCATTTGTGTTATGAAAGTTTTTTATGTTGGATGTATCAATAGTTAGTGAGTGACCTTTTTAGTCTCATCTTTCTCAGTTGAATAAAATAAATAATAATTACAAGTCAATAAGTGCGGCGAACTCCCCTGACCAGCAGGAAAGAACAGCCACCAGACGAGGATTCTTCTCAAATCAGGCTTTATTGGAGCCTCTTGGTTGAAGGGAGAGCAGAAAGCAAGGGGCCCCGAGCTCTGAGCTGTAGCTGCTTATATAGGGAGTCTGCCTAGCAACCTTTGCTACTTTGATACTTTAACTGCTTTTCTGGAGACCCACCGGCAGGAAAGAAAGCAGGGGAACATCCCTGTCAATTACAGACCACAAGGAAGTTCCCCTGCCTGTCAGGGGAAGTGTGGGCAGCTAGATCGCAACAACTCATCCTGTTTTCTGGTGGAAGAACTGCAACCTTTATTATGGTATCAAGCAAGGCTGGGGCCAAATGCCATCTTGTAATGGCAGCCATTCAAATCGGCTCCCTGCAAATAAGATAACAAAATGGATAAAATTCATTGATAAAATTAAGTTCTCTGCTTATTATAAATTAAGATCATTGCTAAATTTCATTTGTAGTTGATTTGAAGTATATTTACAGATACTTAGCCACATTTTAGTTAATTAAAATTATGCAAATAGCCAAAATAAAACCAATAGTTATAAAATATGTATTTCATTTAAATAATTGAAACATAATTAAATGATAAGAAATGGTAAATTGTAATATTGGTGACAATATGGAAAATGGTTAAGGTTATTAAGCAAAAGAAACACTGTAATATATTACACGTATTTCCATATTCGTATTAATCAATAACTTGTTCGTACTTTTGTATAGTGTAACATAACAAATGGATGTCCTTTTCTCTATGTTCTTTTGTAACTTCCTTCACTTACTGAGAAGTCAAATATTTGACCATCTTTGTGAATATAAGTTGTGCATTGTGCATATTCTCAGTGTGTGGGTAAGATCTTACTTATTGTCCCACATTAGATTAGAGCTCATATCCTATACACACAAGTCAGAATTCTGGGTACAGACATAACCCCTGTGTGTACAGCTGCTAAATTTAAAAGTCAGATCATCTGCATGCATATGTTCACCGACATTTATCCTATTAATTCACATTTATAAAATGTTAAAAATAAATGACAGAAATTTCCCTATATTATGGAAGTAAATACTCTAAGGCATATTATTGACTATAAATTTGTATTTTTTTGTAATTCAAAACATTTTCACATAGAGGATTAAATTTATTTTCAGAAGTACGTGTATGTATAATACTATTTATTTTATATATATTTCACTAAGAATTGTTTTAGAAAAGGTAGAACCACTCTCTTAGTATTTAACTTTGTTTATCTCTTGTAGTTATATAGATATGATTTATACATTTACATATTTCTGAAAGTTTATCTACTTATTTAAGATTATATCTCTATAATACATATCTATCTATCTATCTATATATATATATATATATTCTACTATGCTTATTTTTACAAACCTAAGTTTTTCAGTTAATTCAAATATTAGATATGTCCCTGTTTTATCACTTTTAAAGACTGGCATTGTACTATATCAATATTCCATGAAAATTGTCTTATTTTTCTTTAGTGATTTTGTTGTCTGTAATTTATAATTTTGTTACTCCAATTTCTTTATTTTTGTAATAAAAACACAGCTTAATAAATGTTCACAATAAATATATTCTAGTTTGTTTTTCTTTGATTTTGAATGTGCCTCATTCTGTATATTTTCCTCATTTCTGTCATATTTTGTTGCTGGTATTAAATACAAATATATATTTAAATACATATTTTATTAAATCCTTTTTAATGCAGACATAACCTAATAGTTTTTATCCTATTCATAGGAATGTAAAAGCATTACAGATTTCAACATTAAAACATTTTTTCACAGATATCATTCTTGTGTACAATGTATATTTATAACCATAGAACTACTTCTACTCTTAGGTTTGATCAGGGAAGAATCTGCCCTCAGTAGGACAATCGTTAAACTAGTAGGTAAGTTACAATGAGTGCTCATCTCTATAAAGGACGTCAGTATTTTATACACAATATTTTGTCTTTGTATTAGCTCCTGCTATCATCACCCCCTTTTTATTTTCAAAATCCTCCAATTACTGGTAAAACTTTTTTTCAACTAGAGGACATACGTGTGTGTGTTTCTAGGACTTGGGCAGTAGCCACAGTCTCTGTAAGCTCATCATTGTGACATCCAGGACATGAACAAACACCAGTGCTTGTTTCATATTACTATTCTCAATCCCCAGCTGCCTGTCTTCTTCAGTGTTACCTGGACCTTGTAAGGGGGTGATGCACTAACCTATATGTATAATCACACACACCTAGAAGGCAGTTGTCCAACCATATTTTAACTTGAAAGTCTACTTTCCTTGTCTTGTCTATTTCTATGTCTAGGAACCTTACATCTCTTGCCATCTCTTGTGTTAGCAACTGTATTCAACAAAATCTTTCACTTTGTAGACTGTCAAAATTGCAAAGAATACAGTTTTAGGTGAGATGTCTTACCTGCTTCATATTAACATTTATATAGTATGATTACCAACGAAAGCTATATTCAACATGAAATAAATTAGGTATACATTTCAGTTTAATTATATATATGCATATATATATAATATTCTTTGTATTGCATTGCATACCTTAGTCAACATTGTAAGAATTATCACAACAGAGCAAATTAAGATAAAGACCAGAGATATTTTGCCTCTTGAGTCTAATCATATCTTGTGTCATGAGAAAGATAAAAGCTTGGAGGATGTAGCAACAAGAAAATAATTTCTTAGTTTATGATGCTAATATGAAAAGTTTTAAAACTATTGCTTAAGTTTAAATATAAATAAAATTGTAACATGTTATATCACTAGTTTACTTATTTTTTTATTATGCCTTTCTCCAAAGAGCTTGAATTCAAGGCACATACATCATCAATAGTTATGAAATAATCTTTAATATGACCCCTAATATGACAAAGACCCAATTCTGCTTTTTTTTAGTATTTGTGCTCCATTTTCTTCCAATATAAAATTTGTAAATATAGTTTTGTTTTCCTTTTTGTCTCTATAGGAATGGAACATTGACTCTTAGACATGTGGCAAATTCTCTGCCTTTGACCTATGTACCTAAACTTTATTTTTCTTTTATTTTGAGTCACTATACATAAGCAGTTGTCTCCACTTTTCTTGAGATTTTATTCTCTTCCTCTTACTTTGATTAGCAATTTGATTTTTGGCCAAAACGAGAGGCTGTGCACTAACTGCCCTTTTCAGAAGAGGTAAGGGGAGTAACCACTGAGCACATAAGCCAGAGCCAGAGACTACTGAGGGTTTGGACATGAATCTCGGACCTTCAAGGGAGTAGACCTAAGCCAGGACCCCAGGACCTCCAGGCACTAAGCCTGAGCCAGGACCTCTGTCAGTCTGGGCAAGAGTGAACCTGGGACACCAAAGGGAATAGGCAGGAACCTGGAACCTCTGTGGGCCTGAGCATGAGTCCGGGACCTCTGAGGGCCTGAGCCAGGTCCTCTGCAGTTCTGGGCACACCTGAGCCTGGGAACTCTGAGGCAGTAGACTGGAGCCAGAAACCTTTGCATGACAAACTCCAAGCCAGAGACTTCTGAAGGAGGGGATCCAGACTGTGATTTACAGAAACAGGTCAAAGCAGGTAACCTAGGCCAAAGTAGGCCTGAGGTAAGGAATGCCACCTTGAGCAACAAATTCCGTTGGAGTGGGACAGAGCCAGCTACCTAGGACAGAGTGGGCCTAAGAAAGCAAGCTCCACAGGAACAGAATCAAGGAGCCAATCCAGTCCTGGGACATAGGTGGAACAGGATTGAGCCAGTGACCTGATCCAGAGTCAGAAATCTCCACCTGAACAGTTACAAGGGAGTAACTGCTGAGTGAGTGAGCCATAGCCAAATACTACAGAAGGCCCTGACATGAATCTGGAACCTTCAAGGGAGTAGACCTAATCCAGGACCTCTGTGGGTCTGAGCATGAGTTCCAGACCTCCTAGGAAATAGGCCTGAGCCAGGACCTCGCCCAGTCTGGGTGTGAATCTAGGACTTCCGAGGGAGTAGGCAGGAACCAAAGATCTCTGCAGGTCCAGGCATGAGTCTGGGACCTCAGAGGGAATAGGCCTGAGCCAGGACCTCGCCCAGTCTGGGTGTGAATCTAGGACTTCCGAGGGAGTAGGCAGGAACCAGAGATCTCTGCAGGGCCAG